CCCGTACCCCTTCGTATCGAGTACTCGAGTACCCGACTAGCCACGAAATACCGAGAAACCCCCCCCACCCCCCCCCCCACCCCCCAAAAACCCCCCCCCCACGTATTTTTTTTGGGGGCTCTCATATTGCCCGGCGAAACAAGATGCACCAGCCCCCACCAATGTGCTTGGCACACAATTTCCCTCACCCGAGGACTGGGCAAATATGCTTAAGTCGATTATGGCCCTTCGTGACCTAATTAAAACCGTACAAGGAAAAATCGTGGACCTTGAAACCCATCCCCGTATAATGACAAGCGATAACCACAGTATTACATTTTAATTTGGTATGAGCTCACCTCAGCAACCAATAAATGATGCCACTGTGATCACTTCACCGGCAAAACGCTTGCACACCGTTGAGCCACGTAACATTGAAGTTGCCAGCTACCGCTACTAGCTAAATCCACAAAACCGTCCTCTAAAACACGACCACCCCTCCAGTACCAAAAGTAACAGCCCGCCCAACAGGTTCTGAAGCACTCGTGTCGCAAATGACGGGACGCAAATGACGGGTCATCAGATGCCATGAACAATTCTTAGACAAATTGACGGATACAACTTCTATCTGATTCTTCTTCGAATCAGTATTTCCAAATAGCATGCGTCCCCCACGCTCTACCTTCGAACAAGTGTGGCGCTCCCACCCTATTTTGAATCGTCACCTTCTTCTCTGGTATCTGCCATTGAAACCAATTTACGAACGTAACTGTCGGGGCCGAGTCACCAGCAACACCGTATTTCTGCTGAGGTCGAGGCCATTTTAAAACGGACTGTGAATGATTCCTGGAATTAGTGCCTTTAATTTCGGCCCCCGTTCCAATAAGCACCCAGAGTCAACCACAACAGCAATCATACATTATCTTCTGACCAAGCGCGAGGCCCGATGCGGTGCAGTCTTGGCACCTGAGATCATAAGCAACAGTCTTGATCTACTCCTGAACCCTTTGACGAAATCAGTGGATATCGAGATGTAGTAAGTTTACGATAAAAATAACATGTTATCCCCTTTTGTTAGGGGAAGCGGTGGTCTATTATTGATAATCCTTTTATCAATGAACAATGAACGGTTAGTATTTGCATGTAGGTTTTCATGTCCTAATGCAAAAAAAAAACTCCTAATAAATCTAATAAACCTAAGTTTACCTCTTACTGGGTCATTGCAACCACAATTCCCCCCCAAGCTGACGCACCTCGATTAGGAGTGTGCCAGGTTTAGAGACCCGGAAAGAAATACCTGGGGTTGGGTCAATTGCTGGTATTTATCCAGGAGAGCTAGAGCAATGTACTGGCATTTATCCTATAGGAGCTAAAGCAGTGTGCTGGCCCTCAACCTCTGAGAGCTAGAGGACTCGAAGTATACGTCTCGAGCGCACCCTTGGTCGTTGTCTATATATCTACCTAAAGTTGTGTGTATTGTCGTTTACGCGTATGTGTTTGTGAGGCCTCGTGGTAGGCAGCGATATCATTGACATCATCAAAGGTATCAGCTGTTTCTCACGTGAGGTCACGTTCGCGCCATCGGACCAAGTATTCAAACTTGCCAGTGTCATCATTCATACGATGCGAGATGATATGTCTGAACTCGACTTCACCTTCCGTCCACAAGTCATCAACATGTAGTAGGTCCGAACTGCGATTTTCTAACCGGAGGAGTTCGACACGCACCGGATTATCCTTAAACTCGAGAGTGACGGAACCGGTCTTGTTGGCTAACTCGTAGCTTTGGCCTACTCTAGCATTGACTACATATGGCCCAAAGAGAGGACGCATTGCCTTCGTTCTTCTACCTTCAGAACGCACCATCACTACATCACCTTCGTCGAACTGTACTAAGTCGTGAGCATGTAGACGGTCGAAAGTCTTCGTTAGCTTGCCCGTATGCTTCTTTGTAATGTGATAAAGTGCCGGGAGGATCGTATCCTGCAACTGATCCAAGCGCTGAGCGTATGTGTCATTGGTGACTGATTGTGCCTCAAGTGTGGCGTCGGTAGAGTCTGCCAACGGAACGTGTCAGCGACCGAAATACACACTATAAGGTGTTGGACGAACCAATTCAGTCAGTGATAATTTCAAGAATATTAACAGTTCGGTACATGAACTGAAAAGTGTCATGCCACTAGCAATATGACACCGTGTCAAGAATAAAAGAAGTTCCCACCCTAAGCGGTAGAACTCTATATGACCCGAGAAGGGGAATCAAATGAATTTACTTCTCATCTGTTTACATTCGTCTAACAGGTCATGGGCCTCGAATTTCACACGGTAATAAGTCATAACATACAACTACTACCCATCTAAACATCGGTATTTGACACATGTGTGCATACTGTGAATTAATCGGCACACTGCACTATCTCTCTGTACTAACACGCATTGATGTTAGCTAAGCACTCAATACATTAGCCCAATACATGGAAAATCCCTCCCAACAATATTGGCTTGCTGCCCAGCGTATACTACCTTATCTGAAAGGTACATCACATCTAGGATATACCTATAAATACCAAGAAGGGCCTCCTGTAGCTGAAGCTGTTTTCAATGCAGACTACGCCGCTTGCCCGGATACTCGTCGCTCAACCACAGGCGATGCACTCTGTATTAACCGGATTCCCGTTGCTTGGAAATCACACCGGTAGAAAGCACCTTCCACTAGTTCCGCTGAATTAGAATATTTTGCTGCTTCTGAGGCAGCAAAGTATTTACATTGGCTTTGGAATGCCCTTGCCGAGCTCGGTTTTCAACAAACATCCCTTACAGTTCTCCGATGTGATAATAAGTCAACTATCCATGCTATAGCTTCCACGGGACCTACCAAGCACCTAAAGCACATTGATATCCGGGTGCATCACATCAAAGAACTGCAAGATAATGGTATCATCAAAATGAAATTTGTCTTCTGCCGAGAATCAAGTCGATATATTAAGCAAAAACACTGCACGTCCTACCCATTCACGGCATACCGGGGCTATGTTACGAACCATTTCCTCCGAGTCAAACGGTGCGAGTGAGAATCAATCAAGGGGAGAGTGATATCATATCCGAATACATTCTCTCGATTCACTATCTACTGCTTTCAGGGGAGTGTTGGGCATAACAAATCAGTCAGTGGCAATCTCAAGAATACATATAGTTCGATGCATGAACTGAAATGTGTCATGCCACTAGCAATATGACACCGTGTCAAGAACAAAATAAGTTTCCGCCCTAAGCGGTAGAACTCAATATGACCTCAGTAGGGGAGTCAAATAAATTTACTTCATATCTGTTTACATTCGTCTAACACAAGGTGCACTCGTGTGACGGTGGGATATACAAAGGTTCTGATAGAGCATTGTACAATGTAGGCGTTCGTCTCATCTTAAATGTACTGCTTCATTGTCGAATCGACTTGGTATCATCTCTGTGGCGACTTTCTTCCGCCCCCAGTACGTACGGGCGGTACGGTGGCGATACTTTCTGAGGCATAGCACTTCTTCTACCAAAAGTGCCACCCTTTTGTTGATAAATTCCGTGCCCATGTCTGTCTGAATCAATCGCGGGAAGCCGTGTTCGCCAAATATTTTTACCAACGTCTGTACCGTGGTCTCTTTTGTCTTATCGGGTGTAGCCCGAAGAATTGAGTACTGTCGCGATATCTAAGACGTGGAGGATATATTTGTTCCTTTTCTGTGATTCGAGTTGGATTGTAATATAATCGACCTGGATTTGATCCCACGGGTAGCGAGCATCAATGCTGATCATTGGATGGAAATCGTTGCGTAGAGTATCCTGTCCTAGGTGTGTCGCAATGACGCTTTGCTTCGGTCGCGAGCTCAAGTGCGCCGGGCCACGAGTGTCCACTATTGCGGAGTTGCTGAGTTGTGTCTGCTGCCCCGTAAAAGCCTTCTTAGTGTTGGGCTTGCGTAAGCTGTCTGCCATGCTGTTTTCGTCCGGTGTTGCCTGCGCGAACGCAGGTTGACCCTCTGCCTTAGCCATGGCAACCGATAATTCACGTATATGTTGTTATGGGTTAGGGTTTGGGGGTATTTTTTTTCTCGAGATTACCTATTACCAGGCACTTCGCTTCCACGTAGAGTGTTGCACGATGTATAACTTCGTGCGTCAACGATATATTGCTCGTCCTCCCTGCTCGCCGAGAGATTGTCTTCGCTCTTGTCCGTTGTATATCGAATAGTACTGCTCTGATTGTGAGTAACTCCAGAGGTTGTTGTACGTGATCTACTCTCTTCCGTCTCGTCCTTCTCTACTACCCTGGCTCTCGCATCACACTCTCCTTCTGACTCCTTCTCTGTTAAGTCACTTTGTGCCCACTGGTACCCTTCATATGTCGAGTACGAGTAGTTTCCCCAAGTTGTGAGCAACTCGTGTCTGATTTAGCACTCACTTATGCACACACGAATTACCATTACTCACACTGTAAGGGTGAGTACACTCCCCCACCTGGCGATACAACTTTGGCGACTAACCAGCTTGCTTATATACTCGCACGAGGTACCCATCAAATAGTAAATTCGAAAGCAAATACCAACCGAAAAATCCCTGGTTCGATTGTTCGTGAACCAACTATAACGGAACCATCCACGTTCTTTTGACCTCTTCGTTATCGAGCAGCTTAAGATTTCATCTCCATCTTCATTAACACCGATACTAGCAGTGTCTATAAGGTATGCCTAACGCGTATTGTATTTTTGCGTGTAAAACTAACCCTAAGAAAATACTTGTTATTCCCTTTTGATCTAATCCCCTTGGTCTACTACCTAATATTCCTCGTAGTACAACATATGATACGGATCCGAGCTGATTTCGAACTTTAGTACCCCTTATGTGTATTTTAAAGTGTGTTTTGCCACGACTACTAACATCCCCTGGTTTAAATCTTTATGATATTGCCATATCTCTCTAATTGTGCGTGTTCGCTGACAATCGGAATAAATATGCCCGTATCCAGCATCGTTTATGATCACGTTCGATCCGCTTGTGTATAAACATATGTAATTAAAACGATTCCTAACCGTATCGTGCAACCCATTATATGTGTTTGTCGAGATGGTTGTGTTATGTGTATTAACCCCTTGACGAATGTCTATACCTCTATACCCATGTGTCACTATATTTATGTACTCATTCAATCGTAAATTCGCAACTTACGTCGCATTTACACAATATGTCTATAAGTAAGGACTATTTGAGAGTTGCCACATACACCTCTATACTTGCGACCAATTTACACTGTGTACAACATCACCCACATACACAACACCCCAACTTTGTACTCGAACATAATAGAGATAGGCTTACCGCCTCTCTATCACATATCGTCCTTTGAATCTATCAGACTGGCCGCTGTTAGTGAGATTTGTGTCTTTTCGCTGTCTGCTTCTTCCCCGTGCTGAACGGCTGCATTGAATGCCCGGTGTATTGGTTCCGGTATACTATACTCTATGACGTTCTCCTCTGTCCATCTTGTTCGTACGTCAATTTTTAATCTAGCCAATATCATAAGTAAAGTTATTCATAAATCGATTGTGATTCTCCCAATAGTATATGGGATCCCTTCTCCCTAGTTCGTTGCCGCTAGGCCCTGCTTCGCTACTGCTGTCACTCATCAGAGGTGGCATCGCATTGCTGTCGCTGCTGCCCTCAAACTCACTGTCGACTTTTTTATCTTGCGATTTTGCTATATTGTTTCTACTACGTGAATCTGAATCTTCTACAGTTTCTAAGGAGACTTCTAATGTATACTAAGAGGAATTAAATTCATCGCTACAGTTACATTGTAGACTCTCAACTTATTGTGTTTCACGGATTATCAAATACTAGACCAACTATATCCAGTAAGTTAAAATGTAGCAAGTTTACGACAGAGATAACTGTATCTCAACGTTCTCCCCTATTGTTAGGGGAGACGCTGGTCTTTTATCGATATTTCTTAATTAATGAACGGCTAATATCTGCACGTGTCATCAATCATATATAATGATTGATAACTCATGGTTTCATAACCTAATGCAGATAAACCCCAATAAATCTAATAAACCTTAGTTTACCCTTACTTGGATAATCCAACCACAGAGACCTCCAAATCTACCACCGAGCACACTGAGAGGACATTTCAATCAAGCGTGGCAAACCCAGAACCCAGGACTCTGCATGCAACCAAACTACCCCATCAGCGGTTTTCCACTCTCGTAGAAGGCAGTTCAGCTGAAAGCACGTGATGCAGATGACGACATGGAAATTTACAATACAGAACCCGTTATCGATTTGTCAGAGGACGAACAATGTTAGGACCTATGCGGATGATGCTTCTTACCCACAAAATCAGATATTGTGTTTGAATGTTATATCGAATTCATACCAGGTTGATGTTATGTGTGTGGTTGAAACCTGGCAAAATGTTCCTTTCCTATATCATGTACATTCTTCCACGAAGCATCACATCTTACATCACACTGCACGACACAACCCCCTACATCCTTCGCACTGTGGTATTGTAATATCTTCCAAATATCACCCATCGAAGTTCCACCTGTGTCATCCATTCATCACCATATGCGGTTTTCTTCTCCTGCTTTGATATTCGAATGGCTGTATTCTACCTCCCACTTAACTCATTAACAGAGGCAGAAGTTAAACACTACATAAATCCTCTTCTTAACAGAGGCAAAAGCTAAACACTACATGAATCTTCCTGAAATCTGCACCTTTCAACCAGATGTCGTTTAGAGTGATTTCAATTTCAAAGTTAGACAGTATGGTCACATATCCACGATACATGGACCTCGCAAAAGACGGTAGAGGCCATTACTCTTGGTACCTGGCGTCTATGTAAACTTCGATGGAAA